ATATCAAATCTCTTTTAGTCCCGGCTGGTGAAATGATTGACGCCCTATGAAAGTTGCAAACTTCCTGCATATACGCCATATGGATGGACTATGATGAACTCACTATTCCGTAGTATTCCATCCCACAGAATGATTTGGTGTCAAAAGCTGCGCCTTCTAACTTCTGCTGGAGAGGTGCAGCCAAGAAAGGTGCAGCAGGGGTCAGGAGAGGTGCAGGAGGGGTGCATGAGGTCAGGAGAGGCCCAGGAGAGGTCAGGAGAGGTGCCATGCAAGCCCAACACGTAATCACATCTGATAGCTCTATATAAAAGCACAAAAAAGCTTTGCATAGCTTCGCATTTGTTTTGAAATGGTTTGAAGTGTCTTTCGGAAAGCCTTCTAACTTCTGCTGGAGAGGTGCAGGGAAGAGAGGCGCAGCAGGGGTCAGGAGAGGTGCAGGAGGGGTGCTGGAGAGGTCAGGAGAGGTGCAGGAGAGGTGCAGGAGAGGTCAGGAGAGGTGCCATGCAAGCCCAACATGTAATCACATCTGATAGCTCTATATAAAAGCACAAAAAAGCTTTGCATAGCTTCGCATTTGTTTTGAAATGGTTTGAAGTGTCTTCCGGAAAGCCTTCTAACTTCTGCTGGTGAGGTGCAGGGAAGAGAGGCGCAGCAGGGGTCAGGAGAGGTGCAGGAGGGGTGCAGGAGAGGTCAGGAGAGGTGCAGGAGAGGTGCAGGAGAGGAGGTTTGTATCATACAATATCATACATGTGCATACCATATCATACCATGCAATCCGCAGAAAACGGTCCCCAAGACGGCTCAACAAATTCACAAGTTTTAAACGCGAAAAATTACAAAAATTGCCAAATCGTGCCAAATCTGGTTGCCTGTTCCCACAACCCTCCAAGCCGTGCAGTTGGAAAAGGAAGCGGCCATCGATGAACAATGATGAACATAAATGAACAAACACGAACTCGGATGAAGTTAAACCTGGTGTTAAATGGCCCTCAATAATTTATTATCAACCCCCAAGTTCTGGATGGTAGAACGTGGAGCTACAGGACGCGTGGCACCTTCGCCAAGACTCATGGAGCTGGGCTTGAAATCTCTCGTCGCACTCGACAGCAGTGGATTCGGCATCCGAGAGTCATAAGCCGGATGTCTATGTCTCAAAATTCGGAACCCCCCAGGTGGATTGTTTATATTATATGTTTTATATTATATGATGATTTTCAATCATTTGCTCTGTTGAAAATGACTTGTTGGTTCCCCAATATGGGAATGATATGCCGATATGCCCAAATCTGTTTCACAGCACGGATTTCATCATACCTGCGATGCCATACATGCATTTGTGAGCCAAACTGCTCCAGACGTGCAAGCGAAATATATTTCAGAAATTCTTTCACATACCCTCCCCTAAAATTTCAGTGGCCGAGGGGGTCACTATGTTGTAGCTGTAATGTGGTGTACTGCAGTTAGCGTAGTGTAGTGTGATGTAGTTGTAGTGGTAGTTGTAGTTGTAGTGTAGTGGCAGTTGTAGTTGTAGTTGTAGTTGTCTATCTATATATTTACCTGCAAGCGTGAAAACGAAGCTATTGATTAGGATAGATTCGACCTCAAAATGATTGGCCAATGTCTGGTACAGTGGTACAGCACACTCTTCTGCCTCTGGTGCGGCGTAAAGTAAGGTTCCGGTGATGCTGTGCGCCTGGAAAACAGTGTTTCCTTCCATGCGTTCCTATGCTTTCAACTGCTGACAAAATAACGCTTCTGAGCGTTGCACCTACTAAATCCCTGTGGCCACACAATAAATCCCGCGTTAACATATTTAACAAAGACTCGGGAAATATTGTTTGTTTGCATCTGTTCCTATGTGTTCACTTACGTAGTGAACGTAAGCATTGCATTTACTAAATTTACTAAATCCCCATGGCCACGGCATATTCAATTTGACTGTGGCAGAGGAAAATAGGTTAAGAACCGATGATAGAATCACCTACTCGAGTTTGCCGCAAATAAAATATCATGCTGCGGACCCCCATCGAAGAGAAAGGAAAGGATCGAACGTTTGTAATGAAAGACATCCTCATTTTCCCACGGCTACATGTTTGCAATACATTGCAATACCAATTGATGCATTGATACCATCTCCTGCCATTCCTTGCGCCCCTAGGTCCTACCTACCTGCCTACATCTGCCTACCAAACTTCCCTACTGAATTCATTCAGTAAATGAACCACCTTCCTCACACACCGGGGCTTGAATCCGGGACCCGAACCCGGGATGGGAACCCGAATCCGGGACCCGAATGCGGGGCCCGAATCCGAAACCCGGATCCGGGGCCCGAATCCGGGGCTCGAATCCGGGGCCCGAATGTGGCGCCCGAATCCGGAACCGAAATCAAAATTATAAAAGAATATCAAAGAATATAAAAATTGAACTTGAAGTTATCTCGAGATTCAGTCTAGTAGTCACTGTTCCTAATACATTTCCAATCCCCTATACAAAGACTACTGAATTATGGTTTCTGCATGGTGTTTCTTTGTAAAAAAAACGCTCGTGGATTTACTCTCCATTCGCCATTTTAGTGAGGAAGTTGCTTTCCAAACCGTGGAATAACCATGGGATGTTCTGGTTTTCCCGTGGTTTCCCCAGATTTTCACAAAACTCACAGAGGTTTCCAACCACTGCAATGCACCAGCCGCGGGGCTGCCCTTCTGGTGCTGCTGCGGCCTGACTATGCTCCAGAATCTCAGGCCCCTCCTCCTGCGGCTTGGCCGTGATAAGAATCTACCGCGGAAATGCACACAGCTTGAAACCTGGAAAGCAGCACAAACCATGCGTGTTTTGGATTTCACCTGCCCCAAATGGCCCTGAGAAACTTCAAAAAGGGGCTCCAAACTGGATGCCCAAAGATTCGCCCAAATTTCTGCGCTTGTCCCTGACACAGTCCAACCAGTGCGGGTGGGAGGCTTGACACCAGGAGGGCGCCGAATGACATATTTGTACTCCAGTCTCTTTGAACTCGAGGATGCCTGCGACTTGGCGGAGTGTGAGCTGCGGCATTCCGCTGGCAAAAGCTGAATTGATGTGTACATGATACGACACAAAAAGGAACAACAGCTTTGAGACGGTCTATGCATACTTTGTCTTTCAATATATTTCCGATTCCTTCAGTATGTTTTTATAACCCCATGACATGAGAAAATCCCAACATATCCCAACCATCAGCCTCCTCTGGAGGGCCCACATCGGAGATGTCAATTCTCTTCCACAGGGGCTAATTCAACGGCTTCGGCACTACTGCCTGACGCGCCAGGGATGAAATGACTTGGGGAAAATGCCCCAATGTTTGGCCACTCAACCCATAGGGAAACTGATGCTCAACCCATCAAAGTTGGGGACGTTCCCTTCAATTTTCAGACAGCCCCAGTTGTTCCAACGAAATTTGCCAAAAGGCTTCCAACTGATGGAGATGTTTGGATAATTTTGGAGTGGAGCTTTCGGCAAGACCCAGGGAATTTGTGTGTTTTTTGATGAAACAACGGACATGGATGAACTGAAGCACCACGACAGCTGGCAGAGCCATAGATGAGTCATTCAATCCCAGAGGCTACCAAGGGGCCAACTAGCCATGAAAAAGTGAGCTCAAGTGGACGCCGGTGAACGCCAAAGGTGATGCAAAATCCGTCATTGGTTAACCCCTTCTGGGATGGATCAAGACCAAAACATATATGGGAGGTTTCCTAAGTCATGGGTACCCCCATAGCTGGATGGTTTATGTCATGGGAAATCCATCTATAAATGGGATGATTTGGGGGTACTGTATTTTAGGAAACCTCCATATGGAAATGGGCTGGGTTTGACAATAGAGATTTAATGACTCACTAAATCCCTAGAATCCCATATCAAATCCCCTTAACAATCCATATGAAGCCTTTATAAATATCATAAATATCATATCAAATCCAGACATTTCGCAGATGTGCCATGCAACTTAAATACCCCCTATGTTGCCACTGCTCTTGGGTCATTGATGCATTTCATTTTGTGTATCAGCAAGATGGTGATAAGGAGTTTATCCATTTTTCCATCCTTTCATCCACTTCATCCAATGGCATCCAATCCTGCGCATGTGCAGGGGATGATCTCGCCTCAGGAAGGCCGTGGCGGTGCGAGGTGGAGCTGCAACAGGGCAGGGGGAGGCTTCAGCTACAGCACTGACGCGGCCGGCTCATGATCCAAAATGGCTTTGGGCAGCCCGCTAAATCTGATTGAAATCTCTGATCAATGGAAAAAAAATGAAACACAATAAATGAAATTTCAAGGGATACCCCCCCTCTGAAATTTCATTTATAAAAGGGTGGTGATCTTCAAAATTGCTTCATGAGGAAAAACTTGGAACATCGAAACATATATAAACATATGTAAAATTCTTAAGCTTCTCCAAAATGACATGTGAAATATATGTCGAATATATGTGAAATATGTAAAATCATCTCAATTGAAGCGTTGAGAGTCACAACTTGGAGCCGGTGGCGGCTCTGGTGGCAGATCTGCTTCCAGTGCAGGGCTCGGTTCAAAGAGGTGGTCGGCAGCGTGTACCACCTGGCACACGACGCACACGACTACTCTCTTCCTACATGTCACATCCTTTTAGAATCTGAGGCTTTCGAACTTTACTACAGGGACTATGCTTCGACGTGCTCCAGCCTCCTTCACCTCGCTCACATTCTCTTTGCAGCAGGGAGTATTTCCCATGGCGGAAAATGGTGCTGTGAGCCAAAAGGCTGAAAGCTTCTCAGTCAACAAGTCCCGAAGCGTCGGCACAACCATAGTACAACAATACTGAAACGTTTTATATGTTTTGAATATGTCAAACAGCAATTACCACTTCTAAACATGTCGATTTCCATGGCAAATTTGCCCAACAATTCCTGTCCCATTCTGGTCGGAAGTTCCGGGTTGCGGCTTCCCTGCGGGTTCCCTGCGGGTTCCCTGCGGGTTCCCTGCGCCTCCTCAGTGCTGGCAATGTATTTGGTGTCTACGGAAGCGCTGACCTTAGCAAGTTTCGGTCCGGCTCCAGGAGAGGGCCATTGCTCCAGACTGTTCTATCTGTTCTCAATGAGATTGGAAAAAAAACAGGAAAAATGAGAAATAAATGTGTACAAAAATGTATAAATATAAATAAATCATGTTGTCCCTTTTCCAAAATCCCGCTTTTCCCTGATTCCGCCTGCGCCAGCTTTTCGGTGCTACCTCGTGTGGTCCAAAGTCTGTAGATCATGGAGGGCAAGGCCAAGCCCAAAGGCACCTAACAGAAAACGTGTTCGGAGAGGTTCCAATGTGTCCCAAGGATTCATGATCTTACAATGTCAGAATGAAAGAAAATATGACAAAGATTGACAAAAAGCCGTGCTTGAATCTCTTGCGAAATCTCCAGTCTTCTCCTTCATGTCACCGTGTAAGGTCGCTTTCATGTCACCTTGATTACCTGATCATCAATAATTATGGCAACTGAGTAAAACAAAAGACCAAATCACCAAATCTAATCAATAAATTATTTCAATTATTTCAATTTGGTCCTCAGTTTTCAGATTTTTCAGGCCTTCCACCACTTCCCAGTGAAGATCCAGCTGCCCGCAATGGTCGCTGCGATGGCTGCAATGAAGGCAACATTTCGTGCAGCGTCGTGCAGCTGCCTTGGCGCCCACTGATGCTGTGGAGTTTCAGCTGTCCACAAATTTGAGCACAATTGAGACACGCAAAAAACCGATTGCAGCTTTTCCGATGTTTCTGAATTCTGGACGAAAAAAGATCTTCTACAATTCTACATCATATCTACATCATCTCCATCTCACACCAAGTTGCTGCCTTTTGAAGCCCAAAGAATCTAATTTGGAGATTTGTCGCTGGACTGGCGGGCTTGGCTTGGCCGCCTTGGCCGCCTTGGCCCATCTACCGCATAGCCGACTGGACTGTTGGTCCCGTTGGTCCCGTTGGCCGTTCACCTCCAGAGCCAATGGTTTTTTGATCCAATGATCCGATGATATTGGTAATGTCATGTAATGTCAACCCTGGGTTAATAAAATTCATAAACCCCGGATATACGGCTGTGACAAATTAAGGGTATAGTATCTGGGTAAATTCTAATATTTCACTAACCTGAATTGTTGGGCCATAAAAGGGGATGATTTCCCTATAAAAACCATGATTCCAGGAGGGTTCGGGAGAACAGTGAGGTCGTTATAATTTCCCCAGTATATTGCTACTAATATTAGATGGGGATCATTGGTGATCAATTTCTTTGGCCAAAAAAAATGCTGAGAAAAATTGGTAATTGCTATTGGTTCTTACATGTTCTTGCTATCCCCATTTAATGATAGCCCGCCCACATTGTGTCTATACAAAGAATTGAAAAGACTGCTCCGGAACATGTGGAAGGCCTAGATTCTAGGCAGGACTCACTGAAACAGGATATGGAAACTGTTCAGTCAGAAATGGGAAAATTAGGCATGAAAGAAAAACTGATGAAATGCCTAAAAATTGGAACACGGAGTAACCTCGCATGAAACTTCATGTCAAACAATGTACACTGGACGCACTTCGGCCAATGCCGGAAATCACAAGACCTTGTGACAAGGACTTGCGCATGATTCGAGGAGGTTTCATTAGAACGTGAAGATAGGAGCAAATGGTGTCGGGACTCAGCAAAGTCCTTGGGAAGTCGATCCCTGTGTCAACCTGTCCCCTTGATACGTGCCTTCGGGCTCCGCATCTCTGGTGCAAAGCCCAAACCGGCAACCCCAAGCGCCGCTACCAATGGCAACAAAGGTAGCACGGCACGCCGCCTCACGGCACGGGAACATGGAATCAAAATGAATCAAAGATGCATGGAAAACCATCGGTCAAGTACATATACCCTATGGTAAACTAACAGTTCGCTATGGAACATCATCATCTTTCATGGGTAAATCGACAAAGGTGCCATGTTCAATAGCGAAGTGTTAGTCACCAGAGCGTATACCCTCTGGTAATTTAACAGTGCGCTATTGAAAATGACCATAGAAATAGTGGATTTTCCCATTAAACATGGTGATTCTCCATAGTTTTTGGTATGTTTACCAGAGGGTAATACAGTTTACCAAGTCTTCCAATGGCTTACGACGCAGGACCTCCTCCCAGCTCGGTTCATCATGGCGGAGTCTCCACCGGAGCGAAAACGCGCTCGCACTGGAAAGGAAACACCGAGCCCAAAGGCCAGAGGCCGGCAGACACAGCTGATATGCAGCTGATATGCAGCTGATATTAGCACCATAAAACACCAAAATCCCCACGATATCCCCACGATATCCCCACGATGTCCCATGATTGTTTTTGTCACATGCAAAGATCATCAAAGACATTCAAAGACTCTGATTTTCTCACGTTCCACGTTCCATTGCTTGACCTCATGTGATGTTGAATGCTGCAAGGTGCGTCCGTATGAAGCTTGGCATACCTGGAGTCTAAACCGTTTGATGATAAGATGAGTTGCAAACTCGTTGGGGGTTTCCATAAATGATGATAACCCCCAAATGGATGGGTTATGGCTAATAATCCACTAAAATGGGATGACAGGGTATAATAGTTCTAAATGCCGTTAATCATTCAAGGTCAGCTTAGGACTCGACACTTCCTTCAATGCCTTCACACAAAAAGGAACTACATACGTCTCCATCCGCAGCATGAGGCTATGTAGCAAACATGATTTCCCAGTGGCTTTACACAGACCTCTCCAACTCAGCCATGAGCTGCCATTCACTGTCTTTTGGGACGCTAAGTTGTGGCCCATCAGTGGCCATCAGTGGCCTCTCCATCAGTGGATTTTACAAGTCTTCTCACCGCACAGAGATGCACAACTACCATCTTGGACAAATGGAACGAACGAAGCAACACACAATGATGTGTGAACCTTTTTCTGCTCGTTTATGTTGCACTTTCTCTGGGTTCAAAGGTGAGTTCAAAGTACCGGAGGTCACTTGTAAAAGGAACGGGACAAAATCACATTACAAAAAAAATGCACGGGCAAAAGTGGACTTGTGCTGCTCAAAGGCTGCATTTATGCTCACTTTTGAATTTACAAATCGTTTTGACAAAAACTTCGTTGCAACACCAATTGTTGCAATTTGTTGCACCATGTTGCGGAAGCTGCAACAAGCGCTCAATTAGCATCGACATCCCTGGGGACTAGCCACTCTCAAAAAATGCAAGCTGCGACTATCTGCCCATTCTCAAAAACCAGCACGTTCAAGTCCAAATTCAGAGGTCTTCTCGATCCAGGTTTCCAAGACTTCACGCTGTGTGCAACGAATTTCGATGTAAGGAATCTCTGCATTTGGAGGGCTTGTAAAGACACCAAGACCAATGCGTGCCACTGTCTCCACTGGAAATGCTCGACAGCCACAACCAATCGAAGGGCAGCAAAAGGACTTGGCCCCAAGGTCAGCAGCTGCTTCAAGAAGACCCGTGAAGGCTTTATGCAAGAAGTATTCGGCAGTTTCCTCAGATCAACTGTCCCACAACATTTTGTCTCTGTCAAGTGATCTTTCAGACATGTGGAGAAACAAGACCGTTTTCGAATGAGGTAGACTATGGTAGACTAGTAGAAGTGCTATATAGTGCTATTGCTTCGCTTGCTTTCTTCATGGTCCCCCAAAACGACGAGAAGATTCTTCGAGCTAGAAACACGGCGCCTGGAAGGTCAAAAAGAAGTGAAAAGTCTGTCACACGAGTTGATGGTCAGGTAGTAAAAATTAGTAAATTTGCCATGAAGAGCGAGCTATCTTCACATCGAAAAATCGCAGATGCTTAGGTTCTGCTGCAACAGGTGTCAAACACTTCTTTCAGACTTGCGAGCACCGAGAGCTTCCGCTGGCTTCTGCAGGTTCACGCTCTACAAATGGAGGTTACATGCTGGTTTCTGTGTCCAGTTACCTTATCCATAATAAGATGGCATATTTGCACATGTGGCACACATATGGGTTACTTTGCAAGCAAACATTGGCATTCCACGCATGATCACATCATATGGATGACATGTCGTGGGTCATGTTTCCGTTTCGGCTTGTTGAACTGCCGGTTTCTGCGAGGGACAATATCCACCATGCTTGGGCGCAGTGGGCTTCCGACATTGGCAGGCATTGAGGCTGGATCTCTTGAGGCAGGATGACTTGGGATCGCAGTGTGCAGCAAATGCTGAACCTATGGCGAAGGTCACCGAAGGTCACCGAAGGTCCAGTGGAATGGGTGGAATGGTTGTAAGTTTGCATAGATTGCAATACCATCATTACCATCCCAAGAAATTCATGCAAAAAATGTCTATGGAAGCTGATCATATCATCTTGAAATTAGTTAGATTAGTTAGATTGAGATGGTTTCAAGTCCTAGACACATCCAACATGAAACAAGAATTTTTGGAACACTGACCTGTGAAGGACCACGTGTCACCAGAACTTCTGCAAAGTCCAGCTGTGTCCTTTGCTTCCGGCATTCCTCGGCCAAGCCTTTCATCTTCATATGCAATGCAGCATCAGCACTGGCACGGCCTGCGAAACCCCACCAGTCAGCTCTTTCTATCCCTTCCAAGGCTTGCGATGTGCTAACCGCCAATGCATCACCGCAGAAGTTCACCACATCGCCTTGAGCAAAGCACAAAATACCTCCTGAAGGCCGTCGGAAGCTGCGATGTAAAGCTCCGGGAAAGGACTTGGGAGCTTTGCTCCAAAGGACCATGGCGGCCATGTCTGACTGGACTGCTGAACTGGCTGCAGAAACACTGGACTGCAATGATACATCTCATCTGTTTGATTTGATTTGCAAATTTAAGCAGATTCACAACAATGCACTGATGCAGCTTACCATTCTCAGGGCATGTGACTTTGATATCTGGAAGAAACACGAATCAGAAGCAAAACCAAGCGAAACATCTCATATTTATCTGGTCACAACAGCCTGCCTTGAGCAATGTGACATGGCTGATGGAAAAGCAAGGCGATCTTTTTCCATTAAAGATGACAGATCCCGAAGTCTGTCGCTGTGGATCTTGAAAGGAATCCACCAACTTTCAAAATGGGAGAGAAAATCTTGAGCCGTTTCCGTTCAAAACATGAAAACCGTCACAGCTGATTCCTTTCAGGTCTGGCCAACTGGTGGCACAAAACTCGAAACTGTTGGCCAGAGTCTGACTCTGGCCATAACTTGTGGAGACCAAGGAATCACATCAGAAAGATATTGGAAATGACATAACATAATTGACATAACATAATTGACATAACATTTTGGAATGTTAATTGGAATGTCAATTGGAATATTATGATTAGATTGGAATTAAAATAACATAATTGACATATATTGACATAACAATACAAAGTTCACTATTTAAGTCTTAAAGAACCCAAAGACGTTGGCCATTGGTTTCCAAGGCATCGAAAACATCACTCATCTCATTAGACCCTAACCTCACTGAATCCCATCGGAGGCGAAACCTCTCTTTTGATAAACACAAACAGGAAGACCTTCAGTCCTAGCGATACCGAAATGGCTTTAAAAAATGATTCAAAATGGACACACAATCAATGTTTTAAGCCTGGTTTTTCATCCTGTTTTGGAGTATGACTGACTCTCGGTGACTCTCGGCATCTCCACTTAAAAAAAGATTCGCTCGCCCGCCAGGAGATCTGCCAAGATCTGTCGTTGTCTGCGCTAAACACCTTGGCACAGGCGGGAAACCAGTAAACCAGTTTCGCCCACCATGGCAGGTTCGGAGCATGCGGATGAATTGTATATAACATTCTCATACATCATCATACATTATGATCATATAATTATATATATAATTATATTTATTAGTATATCATAATATAGCATATTGGAATACACTCAATCCTCATACATCTGATACACAATACACGCATCCAAGCCACCAAATGCCAAATGCACTTGACTCAGGCACTCTGCAAGCTGCGAAGTTGATGCTCCGCAGCCTGAAAACGAGGCAGCAAACAAATGCACGACCAAAAGTGAGGGGAAAATTGATGAAACTTCCAAGAGGACTTGAAAACCCAAAACATCTTTTGAAGAAGGTTTTGCCTATTTGCCGGGAACAAAACATGGTGTGCAGAACGTTAATTTGTATGTTGCCTTGCAGTCATTGGTTTTACCCATCTGTGTCCTTGTCTCAGTTGTATTTGTTGGGGTGTCCTTGCTTGTGGTCTGTCTTGTTTCCACTCTAGGACTCAAGGCACGTATAGTACACAGGAACCGGTGACTAGCAGCTGACTGCACCATGTGGACACGCCATGCCCTACAGACCACGGTATCCACCTGCAGCTGTTGCCGAAGCTGCTGATTCTCTTCCTGTAGAACGCTAATTGGCTGCGCCTCCTCCTGTGAGATGTGATGATTTGGTGACAAATTTGTGGAAGACTTGGCAGACTTGGTGAACGATTTTAATGATTTTAGGACACCAGCAGCAACTTGTGTGAGAATTACTGTACTCTCTGTCGCTCCCAGCACTTCTTCCCAAAATTTGCATCATAGCCCTTCTTCATAGCGAAGTCGATGAATTCTTTGTACCTTTGCCCAGTGAAGCCACACTCAAATACTTGAAGGAAAAGAATTGCAAAGCCAAAGCATCCTATTCCCATCTATTCCCTCGATGAGGGGACCTACTCCTATGAGAGTGCTTGTACGAATATAGATCTTCTATAGATGTACAGTTATTTTGTGATTCAAATCAAGACAGCCCTGCCCCAAAGTTGGCTTTACAGCCGCTCGAAGATTCTGATGCTGCCGTGTTGCGTATAGCGGTTTCCGGAAGAGTCGTTCGGATGAAAGCGACGTTCCTCTTCTTCCGACACTTCCTGCAAAACATGCCCCTGCTTTGATCAAATTGAATTTGTTTGTTTCTAAATGGCTGAGTCGAAAGTGAAAGGGCCAACATGAGAGTTTACTAGACATATCTAGACATCAATGAACTACAATGAACTACAAATAAAATTAAAAATATCATCAAATATCTGCAGTGGGTTCAATATGTTTCAATGTGGTTCAACAGCTTTGCACAGGCCGCCAGGCCGGCCTCTCTCATCCTGAAAGGCCCCCCAAGCGGCATCGGATAGTCCCGCCCCAGCACACAGCCACCTCAACGGACACGCAGAATTTCTGACGACCGGTGCAACCGGGTCAGACCAGGCGGTCTGAAGGAGTTCCATGGAGTTCCATGGAGTTCCTGTCTTTCCAACATGATTTGGGAGCCCAGCGAAGCCCTTCACAATACGGAAAATCATGACCCGCGCAAGAAAAGGAAGGGAGCAAGCTACAAGATTTCTTGTTGTCCATGTTTCTCAGCGCTTCATCAAATTGCAGTTTGCAATAGTCCTTACAGTTGGAACATCCCAGAATGAGAACGAATGACCTGAAACGACAACATCGGTGACATAGATCATTCATAGATAGTGTATTAATGTGTATTATTGATTCTAGTGATGTAAAATCAGTGATAATTAGTGATGATGATATTTATAGTGACTCATCATCCATTTCTAATCCATCAATCATCCATAGCTAATCCATAGATAAATCCATACTGTAGGTAATCCATCAATATCCATCAATATCCATCAATATCCATCATCCATAGGTAATTTACCTAGCTTACACATAGACTAATCCATCCATCATCCATCATCTCGGTCAAGGAACAGCGGGTCATCAGCTCCTCTGACATGGCCCAGGGCTCGTGGATGTGCTTGGCGTCCAACTTCTGAAGTTCAGGAAGCCATCGACGCAGATAGTCCCCCGAAGTGTCATTCTTCCTGTTGAGTCACGGAAAGTACTGTGGAATGTGTGGAATGTACGGCCGAATGGACATTGGATTCTGTTCAGAATGGAATATGAATGGACATTGATAGACATTGTTCTTTTCAAGGGATATCATTGTCATATCATTGTCATTTGGACAATTTTGGACATTTGGATTCGAATATTTCTGAACACAGCATAAGCTCAGCTACAGCTGCTGCCATCTGCCAAGAGTCTTCTCCGCACTGAGCTTCCATTCAAACTCCTCCATCTTCCATGCAGCAAGATCCTCCACAGTCTTGAAACCGTGTGCGCCACGGCTGCTCTTATCCACCTCACCGATCTAGAGACCGTAAGCTGCGAAAACCGACCCGCGACACCGTTGAGGTCCTTAAACATCCTTAAAGCATCCGTATAGACCCCTGAAACGAGTCTTAGAAAGACTTTGAGAGAGCATGAGACAGCATCACAAGCAGCTTCAGCTACGTCCAGATATTCCCAAAGTGAATCAAGAAGGGATGAAAGCACGTTTTCGCTGCACGCCACAGGAGCCTCTGACACCACGACCCAATTCCCATAGTTCATGGCCACGTCATAGTCCAACAAGACATCTTCGAAATGGAAAGCGCCAATGCGCCAATCCTAGCTATCTCCGCTTGCACTGCAAGAAAAAATCGTTTGTCTGCCGCCCCATGCCACACCAATTCCGTCCAATTCCCCCCCCGGTGGCATGCCCCGGTGCACCGCACGATGAAAACGCCAAGATGCTAAGCCAAGAATGAAAACGAAATAAAAACCAACTGTCTTGCGACCTGCACTGCTGAAGGGCTGACGATGTCGCCAAGATTAAGAAGTTTTTGGCAAGTCATTGCCACCAACTGGACCAACTAGACCAAGTGTTGGTAGGATCAACTTAGAGATTGCATTGGATAAAGTTGGCAAAATCCACCAGAATCGGAAAAGCGCCACAGCCATCAGGGGCCTTTGTAGGCCAACCATCCGGTCTGCTTGAGTTCCCGCATGCAGGCATCGATGTAAGGAACTCCAGTGAGGCCCGCCTCAGGAGGCACCAACGACATGCCTTGGATTCCTTGGACAACGTGCCTATGCCGCAGAATATGCCATGTTTATACCTTCTGATCGACTCTAAAAAACCACTCGACTCTGGGCATGTTTCAAGTTGGCATATTGACAAATCACCATGAAATCCCATTGAACCACCATAAAACCCCATTAAATCACCATGAAATCCCAGTGAAATCCACCATGACCAGTGAAATCACCATGAAATCACCAGCTTTCGAAGCGGTTTCCATACGATACCACTGCCGTTTACCGTGCAGTTTACCGCGCCTTCCATGCCTCCACCAGCTTCATATCCCAAGACCAAGGTCTCTCCACACGTCCTGGGCCCTGCAACCAAAAGAGTCGCCGGCCCCACCTGCGAAGGAACTTCCAGTTCCACAAAACACCATGGAAATATCTTGAAATAGATTGCTTATGATGGCTTGGAGCTGTGTAAGACAAAGCGTGGGCTCTTCATGGCCATGGATATCCATGGATCAAAGTCGAGAGGACTTTGAATCGGCGAACGTTCCCTGCCTGATGGCATTCAATCGGTGAAGTTCACGCCAAAGTAAACGATGAGCAACGCCGTTGAAGTTGCGGGACTCTTCGGCACGGGCGAAGATCTCCTCAGAGAAGACTGACGGTCAAACAGGTCCTGAAATGTGTGTTCTCCAGGAAGCTTTCCATATATTTCAATATCGTACCGAATCGTACCTGTGCCTCATCTTCCTTCGTCCATACTTCCATAGTCACTATAGTCCTCAAAGATTTTCATTCCAGCCATGTCTCCCTGGCAGAGATGCATCCCACGGCCATGTAGTGCGAAATCTCAGCACCGAACACGACTCTCTCCTCTCTCTGAAAGTTTCGAGGTTTAAAAACAGCACTGCACTGTTTTGCTTCCATGAATCGCTTCCTGCTTCCTAATCTTCCTATATCATACTTGAAAACAAAGAGAAGCTGAGACATATCAGGACATTTAGGCTCTAGAGGATTCTAGAGGCACACGTCAGTGCGAGAGATTGCCATGTTTGCTTCGAAAATTGGAACAACTTTGTTGGCATGTCATATCATGTCACGAGCATCCCCTATCCCCACAACATTCAAAAAAACAATCTCAAAACAGTGAAAATGCTGAAAACCATTGTGAAACCATTGTGAAACCACTGTGAAACCATTGTGAAACGATTGCATGCTCAAAGGCAGCAGTGCAGGGTATACCGTATATACCTCCCTTAAATAGCCATAAAGAACATGGGGGAAAATGATGATAAAATGATGATGAACATTGAAAAAAAACATTGATTCACCAGCCATTTTCAGACCAACCCAGGTCTTCTCTAAGGAGCTCGTAGCCAGCCATCCGGTTTCGCCAAATTCGCCCATTGCAGGGCGTCGTGACCCTTAGCACCGCCGCCGCCTGTGGGCAAATCCCACAAGACCGGTTCATGGAGGTCCTTCAGCCACAGGACTTACCAAAGGCGTTGTCACTTTCTGTATCCATCTGGAACTGGCAATGATGAATTCAAGATGTTCTTAGGGGATTCATGGGGATTCTGTTGTCGCTCCTTGGGTTCTTCGTTTTGCTCCCGGAGCCACTTCTCCAAGCTCTTCTGCGCTGCGGCTTCACCAGCCTCCGGCAACTCCTGGGACATCGCCTGACGCCATGCCATGCGCGAGACTTGGATGTCTCCGAGACCTATACCAACTCGGATGCTTAGCCTTTGCTTTTTTGATCGTTTTGGCCTTCAGATAATTTGAATTTTTGGTTTTCCACTTGCCAGAGCCTCTTCGATCTCTTCTGCACTGTAACCCAAGAATTTCAGTGCTTCCTTAGAAACGGAATGGGCTGCACATTCTTCTTCTCGATTCTCATGAAGTTTTGCACATGAAAACACTTTGGTCTTCACGCCTTGTGAATCTTTACCGTCCCTTTATGGAGAGAGTTTCATATGTTTCATGACTCTGCCGTCATCTGCCCAAAACACCAAAACAACGCCAGCGCATTCGTCAGCTGAGTGTCCCGATCATCCCGCAGAACTTGATCCGACATGAGTCCCGGAAGATCAACAGCCGCCAGCCCCTGCGTGGGAGCTGAACTTCTCTGAACGAAGATGACCAAGCTGACTAAGCTGACTAAGCTGACTAAGCTTCTAAAAACATTTCTAAACTAAGCTTAGTTTACCTGGTGAAGTTTCCGAAGTTGGAATTCTCGGCACGATGTCCAACTGTGTGTGCTCGCAATTTTCACGTCGAGCCTGTGGCCATGCATCCGGTGCAGCCACAGGAACACGAATGCGGGCAGCATCTGCCGTGCGGCCAGGGGAACGCCAGAGGTCCTGCACGTTGGAAAAAACTCCAAAAAACTCCAAAGAAATCTAGAACTTATTGCATCATATTGCATCCTGGTGTCGAAGATTGTACATGATTAAGATTGAGTATGATCTACAAATATCCACAAGATGGTCTTCACAATGTCTCCACATGTTGAATCCAAAACGTTTTGAAAGCGGTTCTCCAAAAAAAACATCCCAAGTCGTCAACAAACATCCTCCATGTACCCCATGGTCCTCCCAGCCCATGGTCAAACAGAGCTCTGTGTAGTTCCCTGGCCCTCCATTCACAGGGAACGGCAAGTCCTCCAGCCACAGAAATGGCTGGAGAGGTTTCAATGCTGCAAATATCAGCATGCTTTGTATGGCCAAAGTAAAATAAAGAGATGCAAAGCTTTCAGATGCAAATGCAACTCATGATTCATGCATTGAAATGTACGAATATCTTAATAATCTTCATATTATGAGGCTCTCTTCTGATATTCGTTTCATGAAAAACGGAGGGATGCTGTAGAAAGTCCTGGCCCTGCCGGCCTTGCGATGATAAAGGCCCATCGCTCCCCACTTCCTCCAAAGTTCACCGTGCGTCTTCGACAACACCTCCTCAACCTTGTCCTCAACATCGGTCTGCTCGGGAGAAACAGGTTCCTCAGCTCTTATGGATCTTATGGATTGAGAAACTTGCTGAACAGTGCACAGAACACGCCATGGAGCTGCCCAGTGATCCCAGTGGGTTAAACGATGTAAACACCGCAACGTTTCTGCAAAAAGGAAAGTTTGACGAGGATAACATGGATAACATGGATAACATGGATAACATGGATAACATGGATAACATGGATAACATGGATAACATGTTTGCAAATATCTGCAAATATCTGCAAATCAAGATAATCAAGGCAATTGAACGTTCTCAAACATTGCTGGATTCCTGCTTGATCTTCGTTGGGTGGAAGACCTGGGAAAGGCATGGAAATGCGCCGAGCAGCGCTTTGACACACCACCAGTGAACCCGCAGGCAAAGGGGCAAGGACGTCTTCTGGTTTGCCATGGCACACCTGTCGAATTCCGCAAAACAGATCTCTATCCTGTGGTCATACTTGAAGCATCTTGATGTATTGTCACGAGTACTCCAACTGGAAGCCATGCTCTTTTGCTTCAATAATTCAATTTGCAAGACAGGTAAAGTTGCATGAAGAAGTCAAGTAGGCCACAATCAAGGAGTGCTTGATTAAGCAGTACATGCAACCAACCCTTCACTTCAACTATGTGATCAGTATACATACATCATTGATTGTAGCCCATCATCTGATTCATCTGGGGTTCATACATAACATACATCATTGGTTATACCCAATGATCTGCGGTTATTCATGGTATTTTGAAATCATCTGACTCAGCTACAACTCGTTGACTTCTGCCGTGTTTTGGTGTCGGCACCAGCAAGCGTCCGCCCTTGGCAGCAATGGCATCACTCATGGCACGCACGCAGCGAAGCCAAAAGAGCGCACGCAAGGCACAGGTCTTGCGACCACCGAAGTCCACCTCACCATGTCACAGCCACGTGGACAGGTCACTGTAAAAGGCATGTAACTGAAAAAGGCATATTGATCATATTGATCATTTTGTAGATCCAAAGATCCGTGAAATGAACTGATCTCATGATGATATGATCCTCAAGTGTTTTCACATGTGTTCGCAAGTTCCTCAGAGATCCTCAGAGTGTCAATGCACACATCGTGGATGCGAAGAAGCCACGGGTTTGCGAGTGGAAATCGACTTTTTGAAGTCCGGGTCAGTGACTCGCCCGTAGAATGAGCCTTGGATCCCCAGATGGCCATGAGGACCGTTCAGATTGCGAGTGTCTATGCTGTCACAAATGGGAAAGGAATAAGGAATAATAATGAATAATAAGGGACATAAAGGCAAAAATGTGCAAACATGATCAAAAATGATGATCATTTTGATGTTTCAATTTGTTTTGCTCTGCAAAGGTTGCCAAATCCACATGAGGGATGCCTTAAGGGGATACCCCCGTCAACATACATCAGAATAATAAAAGTATTATTCCGGCATCCGTTGAGTTCAAAAAAAAATATTCTAAGACCTCCATGAGTCCATATGGAAAAATGGAATAATTTCCATCAAAATGATACCGGTATAATCTATTTCTAGCCAAACGCAAGTGATCGTAAGCAGCTGCGCGCAAACGGCCGAAAACGGTTTCCCTTCTTGCAGAGCTGGGGCACACATTTAAACAATTTTCAACATAATCAGATAGGATCAAGAAGAGTCAGAATAGTATCTTTAAACAAATTTCCTCTCAGCAACCCACTGGCTGAACATGGTTTTTAGTTGGTTTTGGGTGTTTTTCCAGTTTCTGCGCTAGTTTCGTGGTTCTGGCCTTAGTGGGAATGAGTGGGAAAAGCAAACTATTTGGTTGTCACTGAATTATATATGTTTTTACCAATTTCTGGATTGTTTTGTGATTGTAGCAGCTGCCCCCTTTTGTTTTTCAGGGGTACCAGGCATCTCCAATACCTCCAGAATAATTTCTCCCCTGGGGAAAGCCCGCAAAATGGCACTCAACCTGGCTCTCTCCTACAAGTTTTCCCAAGTTTGCGTCCGCCCCCCTATTTCTTCCATATTCCCTTCATTTCCTTCCAAAAAACTCCCGTTGGCCATAGTGGGAATGGGTGGGAAATGTGGGTTTCATTTGTTTTTTGACAATTCTTACCAATTTCTGGGCTAATTTGGTGATTGGCTGTCCACTTTCGTTCTTGAGGGGTACCAGGCATCTCCAATACCCCTAGAATAATTTCCCCCCTGGGGAAAGCCCACACAATGGCACTCAACCTGGCCTTTTCCTAGGTATTTTCCTAACATTCCCTATTCATTGCCACCCAAAGAGCTCTCGAGAGAAAGTACCGTGAGGGAAAGGTGGTCCGGTGGACACTAGTTGTGCGCGCAAGTACGCTGCAAAAAAAGGTTGGCAGCAATTGCCCAAACTGCATGATGCCTTAAATAACTGCAATTGGCATTTCCAGCAAAAAAAATTCAGGCAAACACCGCCAAGCTAGGAATGGCTTTTGGAAAGGCCAGGCCAAATATAGGAACGTTTAGGCTGTTTGAACATGTTTTAAGATGTTTTAAGTTACCAAAAATTATTCCAAAACCTAATTATTCCGGGGTATCTTGACGGGCTGGATCATGATTTTCAAATTCCAACATGCATAATCATATACCTACCCCCCTCAAAAATTATTCCTTGAAAATTATTCCAAAAGAAATTATTCCATAACCTAGTTGATACCCTGGAATAATTTCTTAAGGCATGGGTCATAAATCCACCATAAACATCCATAAACACCCTGTGAGTCCAAATTGAACCAAGGGCACGATCCAGGAAACGTGGGTCGAAGATAAAGACCGGTAACAACGGGCGTTGATCCGTCAGCGCTTCGGCCACGGCTGCACGGACCACGGGATTATCCTGAAGCACCGAGAACGGCTGCGTTCGGACTCAAAATGTGTGCCTCTGCTGTAGATTTACCAAAATTGACCAGGATTCTGGACAGATTTAGTCTCCACTGTTCCAGAGCAAGTCTGACAGCACGTGGGATATGTCGAAAAAAAACGCAAGATCCACCAAGTCTTCATGGCGGATGTCGTCCTGAAGGCGTAAGTCATTCCGCATCCACCAAACCACTGGCCCTGCATTGCGTGGTTTCTTCCACGGTGGTGCTGCTGCCATGGCTGGTCAAGGTATAGGCCCGTATAGGCGTCAGTGTCTACCGAGAAATCCAAGCCGTGCACAATGGTGACTAGCTGACTATAGTCATATAGTGCTTTAAAAAAGAAATCGGATTCCATTTTTCGACGGACCTCAGCTGCTTATAAGCCACTTGCCACGGCGCACATAAAACTTGACAGCCAAATCGGTGCCACCACGCCATCGCTGGAGCTGAATTGGGACACTTTTTCGCACGCGACCGCAGCCACTTTGGGCACCAGTCACAGCCTTGGGGCCCCACAACATGTCACGTGTCACGTCAAAGGATGTCAAAGGCTGCTGGACAATGTGTGAATCTTGCTGCCGTAGTCCTCCACGGAGTTTTGAAAGCTAAGGCAGCTAAGGTTCAGACTGTGTGAGTTCATCCTGCACAACATAATACATCACTGTTACATCACAATACAACGTCATCGCGTTGTTTGTCGACTTTTACACTGCAGTGGCACTGTGGTGCTCCTCATCAGACGACAACAAATCCAAGACCTTGGAGCCGAGGATCCGCAGAGTTTGCATCCTGCATTTTTATGCATTTTTCAGATTTGTGCACGATCTATCTATACTGTACAAAACATATGTAAATATGTTCTATTATATATATATACACACACACCATTGTAAGCCTATTTATGTTAAAGTCACATTGTATATCTTTAAAATATCCAAACATATACATTTCTTCGCCACATGCGCGATCTCGCTCTGGGTATTCGGACAGGAACACCATCTGAGGTCCTCCGTGTGTGGTCCTGCCACGGCCACACGGTAACGCCGCGTCAACGGAGAGGCCAAAACAAGTTCCACAGTCGAGTGCCTCACAAGCCATGAAGACATCCATGGGAATGTCCTGAAGGGAAACAGAAAGCTGGAATGTCGGAATACTGTCGGAATGTAGAATATGGGAAAATGATGAAAAGATGCAGCGAACATCAACGAACAACTTGAAGTGCAGTCGTGCGGTGTCTTGTGCTGCACATCTGTGACCGCAGTCTCCTCGTTGTACAGATCGTAGCCAGGAGCTTCAGAACTTACCTACCGCCAAGTCGACCACTCCGTTCAACAACATGCCACGGGTCTTCTTGGTCATGATCAAACACTCTTGCATGGCAATCGTTACTCTTGCACTTCCTTTCCTTCCCTTGTTCTTGTTCTTGCTGTTGTTGCTGGTTGCTGCTGTTTTTGTTGCTGTTATTCTTGTATTCTTGCAGTTGTTGTTGCTGTCGGTGCTTGCGGCTGCGATTGTATTTGAGCAAGTCGCTTTGTCATTACGTTCACATACTAATCCTTGTCAATCTTTGTCAATAAAGTATTTTGAAGCATCCGTGGATTGGATGATCATGCCTTTGGCTTCTTGGACTTCTTCGCCTTCTTCACCTCGGAAGATGGAAGACATGGAAGACACAGCACGGGGCACGCAGCATGCGCAGCATGCGCAGCATGCACAGCACTGGTAAGTGTCCCCTGGTTGCCTCAACAACGGCATCGACGGCGCCGAAGGGCCAAGGTGCTGACCTCAGATCTCAATTCCTCCCGGATTCCCAGTGGAGACACATCGACAACCGCAATGGCAATCGGGCACAAGATCGATGGGAACCATTTGGGAGTCAGAGCAGTTTACAGAGTTCCGAACTCAGAATCCTCAAGCTCAGCACCTGACCAGAATCTCTGCTGTGATATGGGACTTCTTCAGATGTCATCTGCTTTGACTTTGTTTGATTCTTGTTCTCTCGCCAGGAATATATGGAGGTTTCCTAAAATAGGGGTACCCCCAGTCCTCATCCAGTTTAGTAGGCTTTTCCGTCCTAAACCATACGGACCATCCAGCTACTGGGATACCCCCATGACTCAGGAAACCCCCATATGCTTCCATGGTCCTCTTGGAATCAAATGTGCCAAAAAATGGGGCTGATCCAAGCTCCAAGCGCACCGCTTCTCTCGCCTGTGGACCTTCGCTGTGAACACAGAGCAAGCTGCGATGCGCAAGGAAAACAAAACAAACAAACGAGGATTAGAAAGAAAGACAGAAAGAAAGAAATCGAGCGAGAGAGAGAGGGACGGGGGGAGATAGAGAGAGAGAGAGAACCAGAGAGAGGGAAAGAAAGATTTCATGGAAAAAAAGACCGTGCACGCCATCGGGCCATCGGGGCCTGGTTTGGCCAACAATGGCCCAACGATGTTCACCAGCGGAGGGCTGCTGCTGATCCACTCCTGAACAATGAAATAACATGAAACATATAACTATTGCAACTATCATTGACTATCCATAAAGAGGATCTAAGTAATCTAAGAATCTAAACCATGTCTCACAATCTTTCACAGCAAAAAAGTGCAAGGTTGTGTTCCCAGAAACATGCTGCAGGAGATGCCTGCAGGCGCATCTCTTGTGCTGACTCATCCACCTCACAAGGCTTCCAGATACATCTCGAGACAACATGATTGGAAGCCTTTCAACATCAAAACAAACATGCCCCGCACAAACATAGATTTTGCCAGTTGCATTGGATCGTTCCTTTGAACCTATGTAGGATAATGTATAGCATGTACGTCGTATTGTCAGATCGATTTGGTCTTCCCATCTCTGCCAACTGGTGCGCCTCTGCATCCTCTTCCGTGGGAGGCCTTAAAGTTCCAAGCCAGCCAATCTACCAATTTGGACTGGAGAAAATACAATGCTGCGAAATCAGTGAGGCAGCACCAAACACCGAAGCACCAAACACGGCAGAGAAGAAAGCCTTGGTCAAGCAACGTCCGGCATCCAAGGAGAATCGGTGAATCGGTGAAGCAGCATGGGACTGAGACATAATGGAGCTGCCGCCAAAGCAGCCAACATCAGCCCACTTTTCCCAGCATCGCTCAGGTTGATGATAAAGTCTAAGACATGTGGAAAAGCACTCTCCATTTGGTGAGTGTCCTTTGTTAAAAGGCTCAGTTTGGCATTTGCACCATGTGAAACAGCACGTTGCACCAATGTTCTGGAGCATTCTGCAGGTAAGACTTTGTCTTCCTCGCCGTGCAGCGCCAGCAGGGGCACCTCCAAAAGAGAACGATTTGGGAACGATTTGGGAACGAACAGTGGCCGGATGTTTATGAGATGTTTATGAAATACCAATCTTTATGAACAGTGTAAGATTATGTCATTATGATTCAAATGATGATTGTTATGAAAAGTGTTATGAACATTCTTTAAACAACTGGAAACCAACTTCAACGCAGAAGCTGCTACTCATGCAGGGGGAACTACAAGGAAATAACTGTGCAGCAGAACATGACAGGATGAGTCTCATTCTTGGAATCTCTTTGACATCCACAGAAGGGTGCTCTAAATTCCATGACTACCATCATCTACCAATCTTTACGGCAAGCCTGCAGGTGCTTAGCGTTGCGCGTGCCACTCGTTTGTGCTGCCAGAGTAACAATGCCAACAAGGGAAGGCAGGTGGCGCCGCAGGTAGGCAGCCTTCAAAGCAGCTTTGTAGAAAAGACATACTGTTCAATTCTGGTTCAAACATGTAAACCAAACCAAGAACTTATATTATAAAACATATAGATACATATAGTTATTTCAGGCTATTTCTCACCAACTCTGGTTATATGACATAATATAACCATACTAACCATCGTTATATGGCAGTTCTAGGGCGCTTTATATAATTAATTAATCTCCCCTTGATTCATTCCCGTGGCTGCGGCCGTTGCCTCGACCACTGCCGCCGAGCCCATGGACCAACCGACGAGCACCAGAGATCCAAAACGATTAGCCAACCAATCGATGCAGGTCATGACATCTTCCTTGGCGAGATCCCGAGGGAAGCAGATGGAATCAGATGGAATCAGATCCAATGGGCTTCTGGATGGTTCTGGTGTTGGATTATTGAACTATAAGATGAACTAAGAGCATCAGAAAAGGGAACTTAAGAATTGTTAAGATCATTTAAGATCTAGAGCTCACGTTTGAAGCATTGTTATTCCCTGTCTAGAAGTTCACTGTTTCAGATTACTGAGGGGCATCTTAGAGGATTCCGCCTCCCCACTTCTTTCCCACCTCTTTCCCACCTCCCACCACGAATACGTAGAATTATTTAGAATTCATATTATGAACAGTTTCAGTAGCTTCCTCTTCATCATCTGCAGGTGGTCGATAGGCCAGCTGTACCACAGTGTAGCCTTGCAACTTGCGCAACTTGCCACGCAAAGCAGTGAAGTTTCTGAAAATACCAAGAGCACATGGCACGAGATCTGTTGGATAACTGGTGCTGAGAGTTTGTTCCCTTCGTCCCGGCCTTGCTGTGGAAGTTCCGAAGCTAGGCGATTGTAGAGACAGCTAGGCCCTTCGAGGCATTCATAGCAACCTCCACACGAAAATCGGAATGGCGCAAAAAGGGCTCTGGAAGTCATAGGCAATGCCTTTGTCAGTCTCTGTCAACAAGTCCAAACAGTAAGGAGCAAGGCTTCAAAGGGCATCAAAGGGCATCAAATCTGCGAAACTTCTTGGGACATTGTAGGTGCTTGGACTTGGAGTACCCTGGGTCCGCCCTTCAAGTCTTTCAAGAAGCGCCGGCTTCACTCCTCGTCGTCCCCGCCTGCGCAACAAAGAACAGCAGTCTGGGTGCGTGCGGTGCGTGGACCACGAGGAGAGAACGTCACCACTGAGAGAACTCCCGGTGGCCCGTCACATGGTAATTCCAGTCGTTGTTCGACCACACCTCAAGTCTGACATCTGACAGACACAACTGTGCTCTGAGGTATACCATGGTATACCTGAAGAGGACCTGATTTGCACTGGATGCCACATCTTTAAGGTGTGGGGGGTGTACCTTTTAAAGAGTTGTGCAAAAGACCTTTACATCGCAAGAACTGCCCGTGACTTGCCCAGCCTTCTGCTAAGGTGACTGGAATGAATGTCGACCAGGGCGTATTCTCATCGCTTTTGTCAAAGCGTGGCGGCAGCATGGACGATGTTGATGCGGATCGAAGACTCGACGAGGCAGAAGTCGTGGAGGAAAAGGAAAGTTTCGACTTTGCCTTGGAAGAAATGTTCAGGTATCATCGGAATCATCGGTATAATCGAGTCTACAACATCCAAGCATAATCTAAGCGCAAGCCAACACGATCCACTGCTAACAATCGAGATGTCCGACCCGTTTTACGGTTCCAGCTGTTCGACCTGCCCTGACACCAGCCTTGCCAGTTGTTTTATGAGATGCCGTGGGATCCGTGCTGCCAAGCCACCGCCGAGGAAAAACGCAGGCTTTGGCGCCCAGCATCAGCCAGGGGACTGGCGCAGTGTCACAAGAGTCTCAGTGAAAAAACATCATAAATAATATATATATATATATAAGTTATAAGTATATCATAAGTATATAATTCATATAAGAATCATAAGTATCATAAGCACAACTAAGCTCAACTGGGTTTCTACATATTTCTACATGTTTTTGTGCAGAGATGACTTTCGGACTGAGATCTTTGGGTGCAAGAAGTTCTGGGAGAAAGGAACCTTCTGGGCGTCGGCATCGGCTTCAAACGGCCATGGCTTCTCTACCGCAGAATGAGTCAATGGGTAAGATTTTGAGGGATGTTTGTTGCAAGCTGCTCTCTTCTGCCCTCTTGCGATCGGATGGGGAGTCTGTGTTCATGCTGACAGCTCAGTCTGGGGATGTGCGATTCTTCTGCTCCCTTCTGCACCTGACAACGTGAAGTTGAAACTGAACGTGGTGCTGTGGTTCCAATTGAGCCAGGGAGCTTCGAGCGAAACAAAGCCAGATGGCACAAAAGGCTGAAACCAAGACATGAAGCGAGCAAGGTGAATTCACGGTGCATAGCTCCAACTTTTGGACATGCCTCGTGCCTGACCTTGACCTTGCCCCACCTTCCAGCCTGGGCTTCCTGACTGTATCGCAGCGCCATTGCCAGAGTGCGGAAAAAAAAAAGAACGGCCGCAACGCTTCACGATCCGTGTCTACGTGTCCCGAAATCCATGGGATACGCAAGCGTGGAGCACCCATTATACTCATCACATCTCATCACACAAAGCAGAAAAAGGAGCCCGGTGCTACAGCGCTACAGCCGCTACAGGATGACCAGCCGCTCCCAGCTTTTCCAGAGCACTGCACCCTGGGCCCAGGCGGAGGCGATGAGAGCAGCAACGCCACGAAAGCCGTCAGGAACCAGGCGTGTGCGTTTGGAGCCTCGTGCCGCCACTGACAACTCCCAAAGATTTTGGAGCCGTTTCAAGGCATATTTGTTGTATTTGTTCCCAGAATCCAACAACAAAAAAGTTGTACAAACGCGAGGAAACATACCAGAAATCACCAGAAATCAAGATGGAGAGAAACAGTAGGCTCAGTCACAACTGACCCAGAATGGTGATGCAAAGGTCAGGCAGCTGCCAGCACGGTACAAAATGCAGGATCACACATTGAGTTCTTCGTGCTGTCTCCGATGCTCCAAATAAATTGTGATCACAGGGCTTTGCTTGGTCTTTGCCTTGCTACAAGTAGCTGTTTCTTTGGTGTGGCCTGCTTTTTCGCCAACGCTTGAATCTCGACTCCCGAGTCTACTTGAGGTCCGAACGCATTCGGGCACACCAGTCTTAGCAATTGGCAATGCCATGGGGCCAGAACCAGAGAAGTTGTTTAATCTTTTTACAGCCAGAGATTACCGGAACTTGGGTAACTGATGGTAACTGTAAATGTGGGCTGCAAGCCTTGCTGGCAGAAGCCACATGCCGCAGCAAAGCAGAGGCCTCCGAAAGGTGTAGATCTTAGCACTGAAAGAATCGGAGAGAAAGACTCTTGAAGATCTGAAGCTGAGAAAAGTGTATATAATCATTACAATCTGTCCATCTGATCCGATCTGAACTGAAGGTTACCCTCCAGTAAACTAACATAACTATGGAAAATCACCATTGTTCGTAGGTAAATTAGGTAAATGATCTATAAATGGCCCGTTTTCCATAGCTACGTTAGTTGACCAAAGGGCCAAAGGGTTCCGCCTTTGAGATAGAGCCGGTCCATTTGCCCAGGAATGCATCAGGGCAAGCTGGACACCAGAGCGTCGTCCCAGCCTTGGCAATTTGTAGGGTGTTTTCCTGTTGTTCCACTCCGTAAGTCCGAAGAAATCAATCATTTTTTCAGAAGCAAGCAGCAACATATATATATATATATTGTATGTATACATGTATATATATATACATAATATGTCCAAATTCGTGATGGTCTTGTTGTGACCAGTTGAAGAACTCAGCTTAAACAAAACTGATGATTTCCAGTGAAAACGCCAAGAGACTCCTGGCATGCAGCCAATTGCATTGACCGCCACCTGGTCACAGTTCACTGTAGGTGAAGTTCTCAAGGATCGGAAGCGGATCGGAACCGGATCACGACATGGTCATAACATTAGTAATAACCATTCATAACCATCAAAAAAAACATTCATAACCATTTGAAAAAAACATATAATAACTATACAAAAACCATTAAATGTCCTTTACTAAATGTCCCATGTCCACTTTGATACGAATCACGCTGTGCCTGCCAGGCTGCGCCGAGACATTGCTCGCTGCTTTCCAGGTGCGCCTGGAGCCTATCCCGGCGATCCCGGTCCCAGTGATCAGCACTGACCTATGTACCTTCAATGTTCCTTCAATGTTCCTTGGAAAATATGAAAGTTTCATATTTATCTAAATTGACTTTGTTTTTGTTATCTATTCTCTATGATTATTATGATAAAATGCATGATTTTATGTTAATCATGTTGATCGTTCATGATTATGTTCTGCTGGCTTTTGTGGCACCCTTTTACACTGAAGCCTGGTCCAACTGCTTGGGACCACCAAGAGTAATCTTTGAAAGATCAGTGCATTTGGTGTCTTTGAAAGATCTATCCGTGTGGTATGAGAAGTTCTATGTGGTTCTGACTTGTTTACTTTAAACTGTGAAGTACCTGTACTAACTGTTAAAACTCTCTGTACTTCTGTACCAAGTCTGCGTCAGAAACTGAGTCAAGCAACTCTGGAGCTTTGAAGCGCTGACCACATCCGAAGCATTGCACTGTGGACGCCTCAGGCTCCTGGAAAGTGGCGCCCCATTGAGATTGAAACCCAACAGTGCTGGGAAAAAATCGGTGCGATTCACACGACATATTGTGACTCTGTACCTCCTGTGTCACCTCAACAGCCTCAACAGCCTCGACCATGGCGCCATGGCCAGTCCTTCTCGCCTTTTGCATCGTTTGCATCGTTTGCATCGGTTGCATCGGTTGCATCTGCATCGCCCTTTTCATCCTCTGGCGCTGCATCTTTTGCTTCGTCTTCTGCCGCTTGCGCCTCGACTTGTCGATGCTCGATGCTCAGAAACTGGACACAGAAATGGCGAAATTGCAACGTTGTTTGGTGTCTTGCCGTAATGGCTAGACACATTCGAACTGCTTGGGTTTTTGTTTACCCCCTTTTCAAGGAAATCGACCATTGAGCATCTTGCAGCACAATGAGACTCAAATGAAGATGCTCAAATAATTCAACATTCGACTCGGTGTGTAGGTCTCCGGGGACAGCCAATGATTCAAAAGCAAGCTGTCACATTCTCAGCATGGCTCCGGCAAGTTCTTGCATAAAATGGTCTTAGTGATACTAGCTGCGGACATTTGGAAATGATCTGCCGCCAGCTCCAAGCGACAAATACGAAACTAACAAAGAATGTGTGCCATGTACTGATCTGTTACAAACAGTTTCTCAACAATCAGTTCTTACAAATAGTTTTTCCATATTTTTTCATATGTTTTCCCATTGCTGGTCATTTCTTTGTCCTATTGCTCAAGAACTTCCACGCCTGCGGCTCTCCGCCTTCGTTCTTTGGAAGGCTCTCCCGTGCCGTGAGAGTCTCGGTCTCGTCAGTCTCTGACTTCTTGCCCTGCACTTTCCTCAGCCCGTGTGCTCCGTTGGCCCCGGACCTTCCGGATTTATCCCAGTTCCCATGTTTGCATTGCAAATAATATATATATATGTATATCGTCATATTATATTGTATATATATATATTATATTGTATCAATTATGTGTATGTATATATATATATATTATGTTATTATGTATATATATATATATGTGTGTGTGTGCTATTATGCATATATATATATATATATATTATATTCGTTATTTTGTGTATATATATATATATACACGGTAACTACATTTAAATATACCGATTTTTAAATATACGAACCGGTATTTTAGACTACCTCCGGGAAAGTTTTCCGTGGCCCGCCCGGCCACTTAAACATACAGATTCAAAATATACGAACTGGTATTTCAGACTACCTCCACTGAAGTTTTCCGTGGCTCCCCTGGCCACTTGTAGATATAGGTTTTATAGAAGATTCATGGAGGATTTATGGTGGATTTATGGAAGATTTACGGTCGATTTATGGAAGATTTCTGGAGGATTTTTGGACGGTAGATTTATGGAAGATTTCTGATGGCTTTATGGAGGACTTACGGTGGATTTATGGAAGATTTACGGTGGATTTATGGAAGATTTATGGTGGATATACGGTGGATTTACGGTTGATTTATGGAAGATTTACGGTGGATTTATGGAAGATTTATGGTGGATATACGGTGGATTTACGGTTGATTTATGGAGGATTTGTGGACGATCTATGGCGGGTTTTTGGAGGATTGATGGTGGATTTGTGGTGGACTTACGGTGGAATTATGAAATTTATGGGCGATTTATGGTGGATTTATGGACGGTTTACGGTGGATTTACGAAGGATTTATGGTGGTGCTATGGTGGGTTTATGGATTCATTGAAATTTATGGGGGGGATTTATGGCGGATTTACGGTGGATCTATGGAGGATTTATGGTGGAATTATGGTAGATTTATGGAAGATAAATTGAACATTTGTGGAGGATTTATGAAGGATTTATGGTGAAATCATGGTAGATGTATGGATGGTTTATGGATGATAAATGGAAGATTTACGGTAGTTTTACAATGGATTTATGGAGGATTTACGGTGGATCTACAGTCGATTTATGGAAGATTTATGAGATTTATGGAAGATTTCTGGAAGGTTTATGGTGGATTTATGGTGGATTTCTAGTGGATTTACGGTGGATTTATGGAAGATTTATGGTGATTTATGGAAGATTTACGGCGGATTTATGGAAGATTTATGTCACCAGAAGACCCAGAATCCCACCAGAAATCCCCAGAAACACTCCAGAACCACAAAATCTTCCAGACATCCACCAGACCACCCCGAATTCCACCAGAAACACCCCGAATTCCACCAGAAATGCAAGAAACACCACAATATCCACCTGAAATCCACCGAAATCCACCAAACCACCCCGAATTCCACCAGAAATCTACGAAATACATAGAAATACCACAAAATCCACTTGAAATCCACCGACATCCACCACGAATTCCACCAGAAATCCCTAGAACAACCCCAAAACCACAAAATCCACCAGAAATCCACCAGACCAAGCTGAATTCCACCAGACACCCCACAACAAGAAAATCCACCAGACGACCAGAAATTCACCGAAATCCACCAGACCACCCCGAATTCCACTAGAAAACCCTAGAACCACTCCAGAACCACAAAATCCACAAGAAATCCACCAGACAATCTAGAATTCCACCAGAAACATACCAGAACCACAAAAACCACCAGAAATCCACCAGACCAACTCGAATTCCACCAGAAACACCCCAGAACCACAAAACCACCAGAAGATTTTAGTGGATTTATGAACGATTTATGGATGATTTACGGAAGATTTATGGATGATTTATGGAGGATTTTGGTGGATTCATGGTGGATTCATGGTGGATTTACGGTGGATTTACGGGAATTATGATGGAGTTATGGAGGACTTATGAAAGATTTACGTTCGATTTATGAAAGATTTTTGGTGGATTTGTGGAGGGCTTACGGTGGATTTATGGAGGATTTATGGAAGATTTATGGCACCAGAAAGAAGACCCGGAATTCCACCAGAAACCCCGAGAACAACCAAATCCACCAGAAATCACCAGAAATCCATCACACCAACTTGAATTCAACCAGAAACACCCCACAACAAGAAAATCCACCAGAAATCCACCAGACCACCCCGAACTCCACCTGAAAGCCAAGAACCCAACATGGGCCCACCAAAGGCCCATGACATGGTTTCGAATGGAGCTTCTAACTGGTCTATCAAATACACATGCCAAAAATGTGCAGGATAGCCCCAGCATAGGTTCCATTCCTACGCTGATGCTCTTGTATTTGATCTAGCCAAGCCTCGCTACAAGTGAAACCGCGAGCCTCCAGAAACCCTCAAGGCTTCACAAAAGATCTTGAACCAATTTTTTCAACCGAAACTTGAAAAAGAGGTCAAGTTACGCTGGTTTTATTTTGCGACATGTTTTAATGTTCTTCGAACTTTTGCTTCCAATTACATCCACAAAAATGCTGAACATCATTGAGGTTGTTGATAAAAATGTTTGCTTTCCAAAAGAACAATCTGACAAAAAAAACGTAACTTATTCATCAAAACAACAAAAAGAAAAAATGCTATTCATATAAATAGCTTACAGAAAATTTTGTTATTCATATAAATAGCCTATTTGGGCAAAAAGACAAACAACCTAATAGCCAAGGAATGAAATAACCTAATAGATAGAAAAAACCTTCAAACCTGAAATAACTAAAAAACAATATTAGAAATTAGCCTAACCAAAGATTTTGGGTGATTGCAAGCCTGACTCACCCTGAGCCAGCCTCCGGATATACCAGTCATTCGGTACCAATCCCTATGCCGCTTTACTCCAGCTCCTCCACACCAAATTTCCAGGCCTTCGCCCCTCTCCAACCGTCTCAGTGGCGCCAAAGAATCGTCCATACTCACACCTTCAAGATCTATGAATATGGCAATGCACCTGCAGACTTGGTGGAAGAACTCGATTCGTCAGGCCATTCCCGCGGCCGATCCTTGGAATACTTCTTCAATGGAATCGTGGGTCACGCGCGAGATCGACATGGAAATCAAGTGGACAGCTGGCACCAGGCAACCCAGTTGGCCAACTACTGGCGCCGCCATTTTGGTGTGCCTGAAGATTCACGTTCATATCATGACCACAATCCTGATGATGGGGCTGAACCCACGGATGTGACGCTTCGACCTGACTCAATGGATGGGATTCCTTTGCCTGGCCAATTAAATCCTCCGGTCACCATCACCCAGCTTGCCTGGCTATTACACAGTATTTTGTCCCAGGACCCTGCAGGCAACGAGTCCATTGAGTACGGGATCACCGGTTTCACCAGACCTTCCACCTCTGAGTTCTGAGTCTTTGAACCATGATGGCCTCGCCCACCTGGCAGCACACCTGGCAATCTTGGCCAACGTTCTTGCTCAACATCGTGCAGCGTCTTCCGAAATTCCGGACATGTCACCTTGACAACTGCGCATAAATTATGCCTGTTCCTCCTTGGAGGCAATCATTTGCACTGCAAGGGCATTTTGATCGATTTGATCCGCGTCCAGCTGTGCATCTTCCAAAAAAGCCCCGCGGCACCGGAGCGTGTGTGTGAGCCATCTGAAGAGATTTAAACCTTCTAACCTGTTGGATTTCCGGCTTCCTGGTATTGAGTCCGGGTCAACCTCATGTTTGCAGCTGATTGCCCAACGAAGAGGGCTGCTTTCATGACTGATATGACTCTGGGACGGTGGAGTCAGGTACCTGCTTTTTCAAACTTATTTCTTGCAGAACTTCATTTACCGGGAATGGCGACCGGCTAAGCCAAGAACCGGCATGTCGAAATTTCCAATTTCTCCAACTTGAAATCCAATTTGATCAATTCTCACTGGCTATGGCGACGGTAGCTTCTTGATACCTTTTCCGGTCTCTTCACTGACCCATTCCTGTCAGGTGTAATGGAAATGTTTATTCACGTAAGATGCATTCCACAGCAAAATTCGCAATGACAGTTCTGAGCAAGTGTGTGACTGTTGCTCCTCTTTCTGTGGACTTTTGAGCATGTTTACATCATGCGCAGACCCCAAAAATCCCTAAGCAGTTCCAAAACAAATGTCAACACTCTTGGAATGTCCCAAATGATCCGCAGTCTTTCTGGATGAGGATGGCTCAGACTAGTGATGTACCGCCAACAAGAATCAACAAAACACATCAATCACAAACTCCTAAATCTCCACCTTGAGAGTCCTTCCAGGACAAATGCTGAATCCTGAAAGTATGTTGAGGTCAAGCTGGCATGTCACAAGGACTCTGCAAGATGGGCCACCTCTTTTCCAGTCAAGGGAGAAATCACGCAAAGTCTGCGGGCCCAAGATTGCAGCATCACACCTGAAACATCCGGCGCCTTGAATTTCGATGAGGTGTTTTTTGGATCTTTAAGCTGTTTCTATTATCATCATCGAAGGAAGTTTAGAAGTCAAACTTCCAACAAATGAAAAGCAGAGCAGGTAAGAGGCAGAGAGAAGAGAAAGATTAGAAGAAAGAAGAGTAAGAAGACAGAAGATACAGATGCGCGAAAAGGTAGGAAAGTCGCGAAACACTATGTTTTTCCAATGATTTGGGGCTCCGGAGGGTCCAAAAGTAGGCTCGCTAAAGCGGCGGGTGCGGAGCCAGCTGGCCACAGGAGCGATGAAAAATTGCACGCCGTTGTGGCGCGAAGCACATTTCCAAGTCAAAATGTACAAAACACACCAGGTGCGGGCCACTTTTGGAAGTTCAGATCTCGAAAAAGTGCACGCCGTTGTGGCACGAAGCACATTTCGAAGGCAAAATGTACAAAACACACCAGGTCCGGACCACTTTTGGAGGTTCAGATGTCGAAAAAGTGCACGCCGTTGTGGTGCGAAGCACATTTCGAAGGCAAAATGTACAAAACACAC